TGTGCTTGTGTTGACCTGTGCAGCTTTCAGTTCAGCACTATTAGTGATTTTGTTTGTATAAGCATTTCCTTCCTCTCTCTCCAGGTCCCAGTATTGGCAGTTTGTTCCACATGGCCGATGATCTGGGCCGCGCCATGGAGTCACTGGTCAGCGTGATGACAGACGAGCAGAGCGCCGAACAGCACGAGGCCCTGCCCTTCTAATCCCGCCCCTCAACCTTCAGCCCAGTGTCCTCCCCCCCCCCCCCCCCCCCCCCCTACCTGTCGCATGCTTTTCTAGTCAAAACAACTGGATTGGAAACACAGTTTACAAAGAGAATATATAACGTCTATTTTTGTGAAGGATTGCGGTTCCAGCAACGACGCGTATAAAAACAACAAACAAAAGAAAAACCTTATAACTTGTAGATTTGAGTAGTTTCTTAAAACGTCCTGGCGTTGTTTTATTATTAACAGAGGCTGGTTTTTAAACGTCTATGCAATTGTATAAAACAAGAGAGGGGGATGGGTGGGGCAAAGAGAGACGAGATACAAATAAGTGTGTTCAGTGTGGTCTAATATTTGCCATCTATTTGTATTTTGGGGAAACCGCTAAAGCATTTCCGACATTTGTATCAAAAAAAAAAAGACTGATTGTAATCATAAGGGTGCTTTCTAAGAGGACAATGTCTTTCTATAACAGCGTACACTACTGTCAAGGTAATGCAGGCATCCTGGATCTTTACAGTACGTTGTCTGTGAGAGTGTGTGTGTGTGTGTGTGTGTGTGTGTGTGTGTGTGTGTGGTGGTGCCTAATTTCCACATTACAGCTTTTCTTTTTTTGGGGGGGGGGGGGCTTAGGCCTACAAACCTCATGTTATTGAAATATTCATTCATTAACTCATCCGTCCGTCTATCCATCTATGAATTTGTTAATCTTCCCATTTATTAAGATATTTATGGCAACATTTTTCACCCCTATACACACACAATCTACTGTGTGAATAAACAGACGTCGGCCCGATTCAGAACTGAGACAAGTCCACAAGGTCGCTTCAAATCTAACACACGTAATGGGAAATAATTAGACATAATTGGACATCATTTGTATTCCATTTTCCATTAATTAAAAAAAAGCTACAGCTGACATGACTCATAGTATGTGTGGCTGTACATATTAAATGGTCACTCCAGTGATTTAGTATTGCACTTCCATGTACTTGGAAGAATCACAATAGACAGATATTTAAAAGAATTGAAGCAGCAGAGAGCTATATGCTGACTTTTTGTTCCTAATATGGACAAATATTTAAAAACACTGGAGCCTGAATTTCCCATTACGTGGTGGCTCTCAAACTGGGGGGGGGGTTGTTTATTGTGGGGGGGTTTGCGGGGGTGGGGCGTGCATTTACTTGCGTGAAAGTTTGAGAACCACTGCCATAATGCGACTTTGTAGAGTTAATACACCTTCACAGGTAAATGCCCTCACCTTTTAAATCCCATGCATCCATTTTATAGCACAGACTCTCTTTTATAATTTACTTTATAAAGTATCCAAGATATTTTCTCAGCCTTTGGAAAGCTCCCCCCATAGTCGCAGAAGATACTGTACAACGGTTTTGACAGGCTGAGTAGCACTCCCCGTGACTGGTGAACTAATCGACGTGTATGAAATTGTGAGAAGTACCCCTTTCATTTTAAAGACACCCTCTTACCTTCTTTGTTTTTTTTTTTTTTTTTTTTTTAAGAGTGGTCTCTAATCAGCTCTGCAAACGTTTTATAAGCAAGGAAACACATTCATCACAAGTGTGCTTTGGTAAGAAACACTGAGTGTAAACCGAAGCAGCGTTGTCACGAATAAAGCTCAGCTGGTGTGGATTTTCAAAGCTGAATATTTGTTGTATCAAAGCTGTTAGTGTTCATTATTAAATAGTTTTAAGATAATGGCATTTATCTTCAGTTCTAAAAAAAAAAATAAAACATCCTGCTTATTGCTCTGGTACATCTGGAGTAAGGATTGTCATCACTAAATGCTTTGAAGGGCCTGTTCAGTGCTCACAATCCACTGTTTGCTTATAAGTTGACAGTTTTTCAGAAGTACTGTAAGAGGAATGTGATTTTCAATGAATCGGAGCACTACAGTGTTACAAGGCTGCTAGTTGAGATTACTTTGAGGAATTCTTCTGTTTGAACAGTTACAATTTGAACAGATAAATATTTGTGTTTTAGGAAGCCCAGTAACGTAAGCTCTACCTCGTGTCCAGGTCTGGTTCGGGAAGCTGTTTCTCTTCTGGAGTCAATCCCACGCTCTTCTCAGATTGTCCGTTATTATTAATTGATTATTGCTGACTGATTGAATCACATCAGATATCCTAATTGCTCCGTACATGCACTGTAGGAGCGTCCAATCTGAATGTTAGGATGCATTTCTCATTTCTGTCATAGACTTGTATGACTCAAGTTAATTTTACACAAATCAAATGAATCCGTGTGCACTACTGTCATACCTGGAACATACTAGACGTTTGTTTTTCTGTGTGGAGGATGCATTTATTCTTGCAGAGTGTGTTACATTTTTGTCTTTTTTTTGTGTGTGTGTGAGGTGTTACGATATTAGCATGTGTGACTAAATAAACTCCATCCTTATTTAATGTAAAACCACTCAGAGAAGTCCGTGGCGAGCATCGCGGCATTATACACTTGTGTGTATTTGGCATCATATCCTTGCAGCATGATCCAAGAGGGTTTTGTTTTCATCCAGACACTGAATTTGATGTTTGTTTTTTTTCATTTCTAACGTGTGTTTCATGCTCACATCATTTTTACAAATAACGCGTCAATACTTCACAACATATCAGATTCCACCAAATATATGCCTTACTACTGTATTATAAAATGCTTTACTGTATATCAATAAAGCACGCAGTTATGTTGATTTGACTCGCCTCTTTGAATTGCTTTTTGTTGTGTTTATTTTTTAACCAGGATTCGAATAAGTTCAAGATGCAATAAATGCGCAAAAATACATGTATTTAGAAAAAACTGTATCCTACAGTTTAAAAATAAATCCCGACACACAATCTCAAATCTGGGCCAAGTGCAATCTACTACAGTTTACACACGTGTGTGTGCATACAAACGGTTGGTGTCATTCCGAACAACTCATTTATTCACATTTTTACATACACAAGGCAAACACAGGGAACTGCTATGTCAATGTAAACAATTTAATGACCATTTTAAATTTAATAAAACACTTACAATATTTGCATAATGCCTACCCTAAAATCTGCTTAACTCCATTGTCAAACCAATTTACCATACACGTCCTAGTCAGTTATTAGTCTTTTTGGTATTCTGCTTTTGAGTGTAAACAATAACTTTTTTTATACAATACTTGGTTTTCAAATGAAAATTATCTGTGTGATTTGCTGACTAATACACACACATATATATATATATATATATGAGATAGAGAGAGAGAGAGATATATAGAGATATATATATAGAGAGATATAGAGATATATATAGATATATATATAGATAGATAGATAGATATATTTCGATAGATATAGATATATATAGAGATATAGATAGAGATAGATAGATATAAATGCATATATATGTATATATGTGTGTGTGTATATATATACATATATGTATATATTCATATATACATAAATGATCAGAAGTTGAGGTGCCGCATGCCTTCATGCCTTCAAGAACCTTCATGGAGAGACAAGCCGCTGCACCAAGTAGAAGAAGTGGCTGGAAAAGGCTGGACTAAAGGACCAAGCCAGACATCGTGTTGAGCGACAAACGGCAGAAGAAGGCTGCAGTGATAGATGTGGCAATCCCACATCAAGCGACAGCAACATCAAGAAGAAGGAACACGAGAAGCTTGAGAAATACCAAGGGCTGAAAGAGGAGCTAGAAAAGATGTGGAAAGTAAGAGCAACAGTGGTGCCAGTGGTAATCGGAGCACTGGGGGTCACAGCAGATTCCAGGTAAAACATCAGAGGTCTCTGTCCAAAAGAGCGCAGTCATAGGAACAGCTAAGATACTGCGCAGAACCTGAGCTTGAGGTTGACACATGCCACCAAGGGTTTTTATATATATATATATATACACACACCCTGAGATCAGACTCAAGGTTGTTATAAAATGTGAGGGCAAAATGTTCCTTTTTTATTTTTTGTTCACCACTTTGGGGCAGTGCAACCTTATAAAACGTGTATCGCAAACATGGTAGCAAAAAGTTCCTTATTTAGACATCCAGCAGCCACAGATCAATATAAGTAATCATTTAGAGCCATGTTTGTGTCCAGCTGATGAATGCACATCCAATATTTACTCTCTCTTAGCTGTGGTTTGATGTCCATCATCTCCTGAGAAAAAAGATCTGTCTCCCTAGCTGCTAAATGCTCCACTGTGTTCATCAGATAGTTGCTAACTGTGTCTGCCTGCTGTTTGGTGGTGTGCAGTAGGCTTTTTTTCAGCTGATAAGTGTACTGAGAGTGAACCAGGACGGTAGGATTGCGGGCCGTGAATCCAAAACAGTGAGGCTGAAAAGCTTTGCAGAGCTGAGGGGAAGTGCAGAGTTGGGGATTAATGTTTGTGGGTCTGTTAGAAGATGCGTTGTCAATAGCTTGTTTGAGCAAATCTGTGTAAAAGGGTTATAAGCAAGTCCAGTTGCTCTGTAAGCAGGAATCAAACTTAACCTCCCAGTAGCATATACTGTATCTGATCCAAACAGCTCCTAATGTTTGAATTCACCACATCTATATCCATTCTGAAATGTCCAACACGTTTTAGTTGAGCTGTGAAATACAAGAATTCTGAGTTTAAAGACTAATAAACAAATTTTTAAAATTCTAAATATATTAATTTGCCAGTAAACTTTTAATAGAAATGTTTAATTTGTAGGATCACCCCTGAGTTCCCTTTTTATTGGACCTCCATAGGTGAGTGTCACTTAATATGTTTCATGTAGAAACGTTCCTGGTGTCCAAGGATTGGCTAACATGGATGATAATGTGTGTATGAAGCTGCCATCATGACTGATGTGATGCAGCACTGACATATCACCTTTGACGGCCTGCTATTGGCTTATTCCAGTGCTTGAGGGAGGATATTTTGAGTTTTTACAATCCTTGCGAGTCACTGCAATCACTTAAGAATCACACTTACACTTTGATCAAAGTTATTTTTGGCTTCTTTAACAAAAGCTTGTGAGTCCTACCTTTTACATGAAAAGGTTTTGCTTTTGAGACACCCACGGCTCCTCTACTGGCTTCTTGGCCCAATCCTCCACATTCCTCTCCACATTGCTATCAGAGTGTGTCGGAACGACCTCATCCTGTACGCGTACAGGATCGGGTTGAGGGCGGAGTTGGCGTGTGAAAGCAAAATAGCCGCTAGTGTGAGCGTCATGGGCACCTCACACTGTGGGCAGAGCAGCAGGACACAGTTAATGAGGTGGATGGGCATCCAGCACACCATGAAGAGAAACAGGACCAGGAAGAGGGAGGTGGCCTTACGCAGCTCCTGACGGGTGCGGATGTTGGATTTGGCCTTGTTTGACTCTGCTGGACGGGGGTCAGCAGGAGCGGAGCTGGAGGTGGATCCAGCTGAGACGATGCTGGGCTTTGTGAAGACAGCAGTAGTCTCAGTTTCAATAAGAGACCCAATGCCAGACTCGACTTCTCCAACAGCCCTCTGTCCAGCCTTACATTTTCCCAAACGCTTGGTTCCTTTTCCTGTCCCCATGTCTGCTCTGCCTCCTGTGGTTCCCGCAGCAGCTGAGCTCTCAGTGTCCTGTGTCCCAGAGCTCCCACTACCAGCAGCTCTCCTGTCCTCTGCGGCTCCCCTGACCACAGCGATGCGCCTGAGCTGGCGGCGGACGGTCAGGAAGATTTGGCTGTAGATGACAATCATGGCCACTAGTGGCACCAGGAGGCCGCAGAAGAAGTTGAAGTAGACCAAATAGCTCATGTCCACCACACAAGTGAAGATACAGTAGCTGGAATGACAGGGAGGTGTATATTTCACTGCTTTCATTCATCGCTTCATCCATTACCTCAATTACACTGCAAGCTTTTTATCATTTGATTTGTTTATTCATTCATATTTCCATTTTGATGTCCATACACATCAAGTCATCTTTCCATTCATACATGTTGCTCAGTATACAGCACATAGCATGCACATACGATTTTTTATTTATTTTTCATTCATTCATTCATTAATCTCTCCATTCATTTAATTCTCCTGAAATCTTACTATAGTATTCGTCCATCCTCGCCTTTTATCCATTCACCTTTCCATTTTGCTTCCCGTACACATGCCATTTTCTTTCATTCATCCATCCATCCATCCATTCTTTTAATTCTCCTGCAGTCTTCCCATTCATTCATTCATTCATTCATTCACATTTCTATTTTGATGTCTACACACATCCCATTCCCATTCATTCTTTCAGCTCATTGCGTTTTCCTGGAAGCTTTCCATTCATCCATTTAGTCATGGCATTTTCCTGACCTCTTTAATTCATTCATTCATTCATTTACCCTCCCTGTAATTCATTCATGAAATGTCCCTGCGTTATTAAAAAGAATGTTCATTCACTCATTAATTTTGTCATCTTTCCATCCAGGCACACTGTACATACATACAGCACATCCATCCATTCATTCATTCATTTCATTGGATTGGATTTTCCTGCGCTCTTTTTACCATTCACTCCTTCATTTAGCCAGTCACTCTGTTCCCCATCCCATTCATCCACTCATCTACACTCCCTCCTCCCCTCCCCATCCTCTTACTCAGAATCTGCTGGTTGTCTTTGCCAGTCCATGAGCGGCACGGAGCCAGAGATGGCCCCCAGCCCCCAGGTGACCAGCAGCGCCAGCCGGGCGTTCCTGGGGCTCATGACTCGCTGGTACTGGAAGGGCAGAAGGATGGCCATGTACCGCTCTGCTGCTACTGCTAACAAACTCAGGATGGAGCTCTGGAAGAGAAAGGAGCATTTGTTTAAAGACACCTTAAGTCCTTGGTGTTTTGATGACAAGATAAAACAGAACTTCTTAGTTTTCAACGGTTCCATCTCCTATAGTTAAGGCAGCCGGTGATTAATGCAGCATTGATCCCTTTCCTCCGCACAGGGAGGTCTGAGGTCAGATCAATTCTGTATTAAGCGACTGTAAAACAATTATTGGGAGAAAGGCATGTCAGGAAATGGTTCGTTCTGACACACTCTGATAGGAATGTGGAGCAATGGGCCAAAACTGTGGCTGTTTTCTTTGCAAACATGACGCACTACTATCATATGTTTCCCTCAATTTGGCTATTGCTAACTCCATTTGTAATGTGCATATAAGTGGTAATGTGATGATTATTGACCTATTAAAATAGTGAGGTTAAGGCAGTTTTTGAAATGGAAAACAATAAGTGCCAGTACTCCCCTTATTCACATGTTGGCATGTGATAAGGAACTCTTTGGGACTTTGAATCTCCTCCATCACAGGATTCTTGGTCAAAGTCACAAGGCTTCAGTAACAAGACTTCACATAGCAGCTCCAACTATTACATCTTGGTGACATCAAATCATGCACGGTGCTTTTGCCCTGCAGGAATCCACCTGCAATCGGTCTCCAGAGCCGCCAGGTAAATGTTCCTACCTGTGTGAGAACCATCAGGATGCTGAGCAGCACCAGGCAGAGGGGCAAGTTATGACGAGGTTGACCCAAGTCTGTCAGCACTGCGCAGGGAATGGCCACCAAGCCCACCAGGATGTCCGCCACTGCCAATGATACCTTCACACAAGCACACAGAGTAAGAAACAGTTTTGGTCCTTCAGATATCTGCCTGTGGTACTCCCAAACCACAGATTTATATAGATTAACTACCAGGAAGTAGTTGGTGACGGTGCGAAGTTTCTTGTTTCGGGTGACAGCCAGACAAACGAGGAAGTTGCCTATGATGGCCAGCACGGCGATGATGAGCTCAGTGGCGATGTAAAGGCCTTTGAAACGGGGTTGGTATCCGAACGGCATCTCTGCCGTACAGCTACCAGGAGTCAGATTCATGATGAGAGGAGGACTACTGGAAACAAGAGAAAGAAAAGGCCAGTCTTAGAGCCCAGATAGAAAAACCCAGTGATAAATATAAAACCACTGTTATATATCATTTATTTTGATTACGCTGCAAAATCTGCAGATGGAACTGCAAAAAGCACTACACTGGGAAATGTAAATTTAGTCAGCTGTTGCATTGACCATAAATCAGAAGCCATCAGTAAAAGATAAAGTGATAGACAGGAGGATTTCCTTTGTTTTTATTGAAGCACCAGTTAAACCAGCCTCCTTCAGGAAAGTGGGCTTATTTTGGCGAAATTCTGTTTCACAAAGGAGGTTTAAAGAAGTGAGTTCATAACTTCTTCTATAATGTATCCCCACAGCATTCCAGTCAACATATGTATGCTTGTAAACGCACTGTAATTAAAAAAGCTAATAAACAACTTTGACGTATGGCTGCAGCCCGATACGTAGCGTTTGTTGTCTCATTAAATGTTACATAAAGGTACCCCGTGGAGTTTTTCACTGCTGGCATTATGAAGCAATGAAGCCAAGAGCAGTAGCAATGCGCCAACAAAGTCAGCAAAGAAGAGGACTGCCAGCTCACAAACACAGATGCAGGATTTAAAAGGATTTCAAAACCAGCTTTGCAAATTCTTTATGAGGAAGGACATGCATTCAACACATTTGTTAGAACTCTTTAGTACGAAACAGTGACTGTAAACTCCACATAAATTAAAGAAACGGACACAGACTGTTAAAAACACAACAGGGACAGACAGCCTGTGTGAAGGTGTTCACAATATGGTGGCTGTTATAGCACACTGTGAATTAATGTGATATGTGCTTGAGTAGTGACTGCTGGCACTTCACTTATTTACAATGTGTGCATGAACGAGGGGAAAAGTCTGAAGAGGTCAAAACTCCCAACAGCTTGTTCTTGATTGAGTTTTCATCTCATCTTTGCTTTATGTCCAAGTTCTGTATCTCAAAGTCATGAACAAGAGGTTCTCAAATCAGACTAGACTCATAGCATCACCCCTGGGTTGCTTTATGAAACTGATTAATGCTGGTTCATTGTGCTATGCTCATTCAAGCCAGGCGTTTCTCCCTGCTTTTCTGAGCCTGTTGAAGGGACACAGTGTGGACATCAAGTTAGGGGCACATGTAATCGCTAATGGGTACTTAGGCAGGAAGGGATGATCACAGAGCTAGGGATGTTTGCCAATGTTTCTTGTTCTGACGTTGATGGGAGAGAACAATGAGTAAGTGTAAGTGCTTCCGAGAAAGACGTTTCTAGCTTTCACACTGGTTTCACAGACTGAAAGTGATGAAGAGATATGAACATAGAGAAGAACAGTGGTTGTTATGAAGCTCAGGCTGACCAAGCCTTTGTGCTGACCAACTGAGCAGTGAAAATTGTTCCTGATAAGGGACAATAACAATGACACGCACCAAAACACAGACCCAAGTGTTCACTGTTTACACACGCTGATAGGGATTCAAACCCGCTGCCTGTTGCTGCGAACACATATAGAGAGACTCCACAAATCAACTCACTAGAAATCAACTGCAACAGTCTCAAATAAAGAGTTCTTCATTTAAAAAAAACCAAAACACAGCGTAAGTTACATTTCTGCATTTATATAATCATTTTTCTGCATCATGGGTCATTTTGGATTGTCCACAAATTATTGGAGTGAGGTGGCTCAATTTAATATTTGACAGAGCGTTTTCCTGTTAGCCCAAATTCCACTTTAGAAGTGATTGCCAAAAACATAACTAATGGTACTCTCTGCAAGCTGCTAAATAAGCAGTTAATACCACATAAGCTAACGGGTCGAAGGCAGCAGCTCTGTGGCTGCTGAGGGGCTTCAGCACTGTAATGTTTTCACTTCATTCATTAGGAGAACGGGCTGGGTTGTGCTAAACATACATTATGTTTAGAGTTGAAACAATCAATAGAAAATTTATCTGCAACTGTTCCAGCTTCCTAAATGTGAGGATTTGCTGCTTTTCTGTGTTTCACATCATTTTATTTTGAATATTTTAGGTTTTGGACTGTTGTTCGGACAAAACAAGACGATTTCACACGTCACCTCGGCCTTAGGACCTTTTTTTACCCACTATTTTGAGGACTTTTCTTTGGCTAAATGATAAACCAATTTGTTTTAAAAAGAATCGGTAGGCCCTCTTCCTTTTCTTACCCCGCCCCCCTTCTAATAATTTGCGTACAGTCCCTTAGAGATTACAACAAAAGAGCAAAACAAATCACACTAATGCTCTACAAACCAATATTACAGAGACACATCACTGCTTTATGTGGAACTTGCTTTGTCTTGCTGTGTGTTCTCTTTCCTCCCATATAAATAGAACTGAATTGAATTGAATTTGAATTGCGTAAATATTGTTTTTGGTGGATAAAGCAGTTCAGATTTGGCTTGTTATAAGCACTCACCTGCGCTAGGCTTCATGTGCAGTCATCACACAGTTTGAAGGTCTAGACCATCCAGGACAGTGAAACAAGGTGAGGTTGATAGGGGAGAGGGAGCAGAGTTCACTGATGTGCAGACACACTGAGAGGAAAGTGGGGAAGAAGCAGGAGGAGCAACAACTGTGGGGATGAAACCACTCCCTCCTTCACTTTGTTTTTACTCTATCCCCCCTTTCTTCTTCTCTTCCCTCTCTTTCTTGCATGGGAGATAAAGGTATAATGCAGAATAAGTGAAGCATGAGCCTGTTGAATGAACAGCAGCAGTTGCCACACTGCTCTGGATCTGGGAAATGGAAAAGCAGATATGCTTTGACGTAAACCTCCAGCTTGTTCCTGACAAAACAAACATGTCATATTAAATCTTAAATTATGTACGCTTGAGCTACTCTTTCATGTGGTAAAATACTTATTGATATTTCGGTAAAGAACAATGAATGAGGAAGCAATACATGTTGTGCCATACTTACTGTGCAGATAAAATGAGAAGTGCACTTACAGGACAAAAAATAAATCTATAAATTTTAAATAAAAGTCACCTCATACAATGGTTTAAAATGTGTGCACACATGCACGTTGCACAGGAAGTATTACAATTACATTATACTTACACAAAGTAGCACTCAAGGTAGTTTTATCACAAAACGAATCCCTTTCAAGTAGAAGTCCTGTGTTGAAAATGTACTTAAAGTAAAAGTCCTCAGTGCAGGTGTTCCTTGAAAGTGTCACATACTTTATATGCAAGTAGAATTTTACTCATGTAGTTGAAATAGTATTAAGTCCAATGATTTATACTTTATTTGTACCATACATGCAATACTTTACTGCTTAGTAGCATAATCAGTAATAATGCATCAATTTTATACGTCTCATATGTGAAATCTTAAGTTGTTAAGTATCATTTTTAAAATATTGTTATGGAGTAAAAAGTGCAAGTATAAAGTAGCCTGAGATACAATGCAAATATTCAAATAAAGTACAAGTACCTCAAGTTTGTAGGCTGCAGTACAACCTAGTACTGAGTTATTTTTAAGCTTTGTAAAAGAAAATAAACAAAATATTCTATGATTTACAAGATAGAAAGATAAGTGTTTAAAACTAAATGAACAATTTATTGATTCATGTTAAGGCCCCCTCCAGCCACCTTTAAAAACATGATAATGTCTGAATACATGTTGTTGTTTATTTTGCTTTTCACATTTCAGTCCTCAACTTTAATATCTTTAGTGTAAAGGTTATAAGCCATAGACAGATTCTAGATGAATGGTACAATATATTTTTGAAATACCAAATAAATGTATTGTAATTTTGACTTTATCTTTATTTCCATTGTATACTACAGTTATGGACAGTAATTAAGTACATTTATTCAAGTAGTGTACTTAAGTACAAATTTGAGGTACTTGAGTATTTTCTTTTCATGCCACTTCCTACTTCTACTCCACTACATCTCTGAGGGAAATCTTTTTACTTTACTACATTTTTCTGACAGCTTTAGTTACTAGTTACTTTACAAAGTAAACTTCCACACACAACATATGAAGAGTGAAAGAAAATATGATGTTTTGTTATAAATTAAACCACCCAACAGTTCACACAAGTACACCTACAATATAAGTTGTTCTGTCAATCAACTATTTTGATAAAACGTTTCATGGTTCCAGCTTTACAAACGTGAAGATTTGCTGCTTTCACTTTTGATTGTTTTGTATGTTATGTGTTTTTTTTTTAAATACATTTTAATAAATATTTTGAGTTTTGGAGTTCAACCTAAACCAACTACAACAGTAAAAATCTGCTTTTACATGAATGCATGCACAATAACAACAATAATAATAATAATAATGTCCTAATCCTAAATAAAACTAAGAACATTTTATGCAATTACAATTATTAGACTGACACTGAAATTAACTGGCAACAACTTTGATCTTTTAATACATATTTCCTGCACAAGTAGTACTTTTTACTTTTGGTACTTTAGTATTTTTTTTAAAAGCAAGTATTTTTATACTTTGCCCCAAGTAGAAATTTAAATTACAGTAATATTTAGCAAGTATATCTGTACTTTTACTCAAGTACAGGATTTATGTACTTTATGCACCTCTGATATAAAAACATTTGGTAGGTAATATTTAGTAGTACTCTCTTGCTTTAGCCACTAGATGGCGTCCAAACAGTATTTCTATGGATTTATGGTTAATTCAACGCCAACCCGGAAGTGTTTGCAGGTCACATGACTGCCGTCCGGCGTGTTGTCTTTTGGTGTTGATTTGAAGACTTTACTGCGGATGTTTTCTTCTCTCGCCAGTTTTTAATCTGTCACCGCTGCAGCGTGAGATGTTGCATTTAGTTTGAAGAAGCGCCTCTTTTGTCCAGCGAGTGAGCCTCAGCCGGGCGGAGACACCGGAGATGTCTGGCTTCAGCGCCGAGCTCATAGACTACCTGGAGGGGAGGATAAGTTTTGAGGAGTTTGACAAGCGGAGGGATGAGCGGAAAGCCAAGGTAAATCACAACCAGGGTTAAAAACATGAGTATCAAAGTAAACACTTACCCTAATGTAATAATGTAATAATACTCTGTTGCAAGTTAATGTACTGCACTGAAATGTTACTTAAGTAAAATGATGTAACGTTAAGTAAGTCATAATCAGGAAATTCAGTACTTATTAAGGTATAAAAAGTAAAAGTACTAAAGGCCTGTGACTGTTTACTCATGCATTAATGTAAAACCAGGATTTTGGACTGTTGTAGTTGTTCAAACCTCAAAAAGATTACAAATACATTAAAGGAAAATCTGAAAATTTATGATGCTGGAACCATGAAATGTTTTTACATGAGAAATTACTCAAAGGCTCTTTAAAATAAGTTGCCAATTACATTTCTGTCAATCAACGAATGTGCTACCTGTACTTGTATAAACTGTTTGGGTAGACTTCAGATGTTTTGTGTGTAAAAATCTTACTTTGTAAAGTAACTGAAGCTGTCGGATACATGTAATGTAGTGAAAAGCACAAGATATCCCTCTGAGATGTAGCGGGGTAGAAGGCGACAGTGTCAGGGATAAAAAAGAATCATGTAAAGTGTAAATATACTTGAGTAAATGTACTTAGTTACTGCGTTTATCAGACTTAATAAAATACTATCAGAATATCGTCTACATTTAGATTTAGATTTATTGTTTGGCTGTTACGTCTGCTCTGAAATATGCAACATGATGTTAATACTTTCTGTCCTCTCCCAGGAGTCAGGAGAAAGCCTGTTAGCTGAAGACGCGGAGGACGATGCTCAGCCCTCTACCTCTGCACAAATCCCGGGGAACATCGGTAAAACTGCGACCCGCCTGGGTTTTTACATTAATGCTAACGTGTGATGTGTGCATTTATGCTGACTTTCTTCATTATCTAATGATAGTAAACTGAATATCATTGTTTTTGGACTGTGGGTCTGATAGAACAAACTACTTGAATGTATCGCCTTAGCTACGAGAAATTGTGAAAGGCGTTTTGTAGATTACAACTACAAATGAATTCCACAAGAACATAATCAACAGAATGACACTGGCCTGCCCAAATAAAGTCTGCTGTGAGCACACAGTAAAATCTTCTCTTATCTGTTTTTTCTTTGCAGCTGGAGTCAGCCCCGGGGTTCAGCTGGCCTTTGCCTCCATGCTGGGAGAAATGCCCGAACATCAGACTTCAGAAGAGGAGGAAGAGGAGGACAGCTTGAGCTATGTAGATGACGAAGGTGACGAGGACTATAAGGTGGAAGAAGAGGAGAGGGGGAAGGTGGAGGTGGAGGAGACGGAGAAGAAGCAAAAGCGAAGCAGGAAGAGGGGAAGTAAGAGGAGAAGGAAGAAGAAGAAGGAGGAGGAGGAGGAGGAGGAGGAGGATGATCTGACGGTGGGGGACGTGTTTGCGTTGGAGATGGAGCTGAACCGAGAGAACAAGAAGATGATGAAGGTGAGGGGGAGGGGAGAGTGCGTCAGTGTGTTGTCCCACCTCCTCATGTGTTAGTTTGTGACTTTGTTTGTTTGTTTGTGTGTGTCCAGGAGCGACGTCATCGCAGCAAGCTGCCCCGAGCACTGAGAGGCTTGATGGGAGAAGCCAACATCCGCTACGCCAGAGGAGAGAGAGAGGACGCCATCCTGATGTGCATGGAGATCATAAGACAGGGTGTGTGTGTTTTGGGACTGTAGACGGGCATCTGTATTCGGGTAATGAGTTTGATCACTACTAAAAGATTAAATCTAACTGAATGTCTTCTTCCAGCTCCTCTGGCCTATGAGCCTTTCTCCACGTTGGCTATGATCTATGAGGATGATCAAGACATGGACAAAGCGCTGCAGTTTGGTTTGATCGCCGCCCACCTGAACCCCTCAGACAGCGAGGAGTGGGTCAGACTGGCAGAAATGTCTCTGGAGCAGGACAACATCAGACAGGCCATTGTCTGCTACACAAAGGGTCAGTCTGACACTCAAGAGGAAAAAGTCACGGATTAAAAATGATACATTAACTAACACATGTGTGGATCTCATAACATGTATCTCGATTAAGCGATTAGTTGTTTGGTCTATAAAATGTCAGAAAGTAATAAAAAATGTACTCGATTAGTGTTTCCCGCAGTCCAAGATGACTTCCTCAAATGTCTTGTTTTGTCCACAACCCCACAGATAATCAGTTTACTATCATAGAGGGGGAAATAAACCAGAAAATATTCAGATTTACGAAGCTGAAATCAAATAATTATTTCTTAAAAAATGACTCAAATTGCTTCCGAGTCCCCTGCTGCACATTAAATAGGTTTAAGACTAATTAGGGCTTAAGACTGACAAAACAGGACATTTACGACTTCACCCTGGGCAATGAGTATTCTTTATTGACCAAGAAATTAATCAGTTAATTAAATAATCGCTAGTTGCAGCCATACTATCAATATTAATGTGCTCCATTCCCTCTCGTCCCCCCGCTTCCCCAGCCATTAAGTACGACCCCACTAATGTGCGCTACCTGTGGGACCGCTCCAGCCTCCACATGCGTCTGGGCGAGCACAAACACTGCATGGACGGCTACCGCAGGATCCTGTCACTGCTGCCGCTGGAGGACGGCGAGCACTTCATGCAGCTCTCCAAGGACATGGCCAAGTACAAGGACACACGCTGACCCACAGAAAAGTGGATCCATACAGTTCATCCACAGAAGCATTTGCACCGAGCCCAACACAGTCTTTCATTTATCACACCACATTTTAGTCATAATTTTTTTTTTTAAAGATGACGTTTTGGAAGATTTCGCCTTACTTTCTGATGGTCACAGGTGAAAATGTAGACAGGAAATGTGGATAATGTGGTGATGTTGGATTACCTCTGTTTAGGAGCTACTATGAGAGTAATGACTTGGCCTCAGCTCTGGGTGTTATAGAGGATGCTCTGGCGCGACACCCCAGCCTGGTCAGCGATGACTTCATCAACATGGCAGCTGAGCTCTATATCTCCAACCGCCAGTACAACAGGGCCCTGCAGGTACATCTCTGTTTGTGTGTGTTTGCGTGCAGTGAAGCAAGAGCTTGCTCGTGTCATTTAGAGAGAGGGAAATTTAAAGGTGTATTTTGTCTTAAAGAATAATTTGCGTGTGATGGTTTTCCTAGGTCTTGGCCCAGTTTGCAGGTATAGTTTTGGTCAGAGCTGAGTCCAAATCAGACGATGCGGTACCAACACAAGACGAGAAAGTGGCAGACGAGACGACAGAGGAGCAGGAGAAGACCAATGAAGAAGGGCCGAAGTCAAAAACGGTAGAGGAAATGGCAGCACAGGAGAACGGTGAGTCGCAGCGAGGATCGGTGTAACCTGAAGAGATCCAGACTACGTTAAAAGTGCTTCATCAAACAGGATCTCTGGGATCATTGTAGCTAAAATAACTAGCTAGCTTGTTGATGTTGCCTCTCTTTCTAATGGACAAACACAGAAGGACTGAAAATACTCTGAGGATAAATCATTTCACATTTCATTTGCCCTGAGGAAGCTTTAGAAGCAGCTGTTTAACCCAAGAAACCTTTGTCTTGGGATGCACAGACTGGAAAACACTGCTGCTCATTCGTTAGATAACAGAAAAGATCTTTGCTTTAGAAAGCCTAACCCTCAGAGGGCAAGTTGACGCATTGAATAGAAATCAGCAGCAAAAAGAAAATAGTTTTGTTGCACCCACTGTGTCTGTGCCGCATTGTCTAACTGTCGTGCACTGCGTCAGCACCAATTAACCCAGTCAATTTATTGTACACTGTCTGTACAGAGTGAATAAAAATCATTATTATTCTCAAGTATTCTTTTATTCAAGAGGCTAAATTAGCTCACACTGACAGGAGCCACGTCCCTTTCCTGTAGTGTGCACTAAGGCCACAATGTGGATTTCAGATGTTGAGAAAATGATTTCTTTTCAATCAAAATAATTTGCCTTTATGGCGCAACAAAATCAGAGTCATATTTGTTCCAAAAACGTCGACCTTTTAAGACCCATTTAAACAAAGTTTTCATGTCAGAAAAGTGATACAAAATGCTTTACAGAGTGATAAAACAACACATTCTCACTCCCAGCTTGTTACATAGGCGGTTTTTAACACCCTGATACCTCTTCAGTTCATTTTTTGATGCTTAGCTCTCCTCGGTTAAGTTAGCAACAATAAATATGCAACGTCCTGTTAGACTTTCAAAATAAAACGTTGTGAAATGTTGCAATTTGGTTAGGTTTAAAAACTATTTTTGGAACCTGATTGAAGCTGTTTTTTTGTGTGTGTGTGTGTGTGTGTGTCTCCAGGTGAAATTAAGGATGTACAGGTACCAGACAGTGTCCCAGTGGACCTGAGGGCCAAGCTAATGGTCTGCCTCATACACCTGCATGTCTTCACACCCCTGGAGGTAAACAGGACTTTACAAGGTTTTTTTATTGAGAAAATCTGACTTAAGCTAAAAAAAATCAGATTTCTAGCAGTGAGTTTAAACTTTCCAGAGACTGATAATGGCATTAAACACCTGTCTCTCCCCCCCCCCCACTATAGGGACTCGTGTCGATGCTGATGGACCAGAGTCCAGAGGAGATTGGTGACTTGTACCTGGATGTAGGTGAAGCCTACCTGGACGAGGGCGAGTACATGTCTGCTCTGCCCCTGCTGTCTGCCCTCGTCATATCCGACAAGTACAACCTGGCGGTCGTCTGGCTCCGACACGCAGGTGGGACCAGCAGAAAGCAAACATTAAAGTGATTCAGAAGTTCAGTGCTTTAAAAGTCAAACTGAAAACCTTATTCTCCTCACTTTTTGTGTAGGAAAGCTTTAAACAGTAATATTTTGTGTGACTTGTGGCAACAGTTTCTAAGCTTCAAGCCTCTGGGCCTTTCCTTTGTCAGCAGTTGCTAGTAGACGCTCTGTCAACAGACAGAACTGAGGACAAACGCTGATGTTTTTCTGCCTTTCAGTAGTTTAAGGTGCAGTCTGTTTTCAACATGCAACATTTGGGAGAACCTATTGTGCTTGGAAGCGGAAGCTAGCAAATTAGGCTAATTAGCTTTCACTTAGATAGTGGAAGCTGGTTAGCTTAGCTTCTGTTATATTGTCCACCCCATTTATATCAGTGAGAGTAGGCTAAATATCAGAAATGCCGCTCTGTACAGTTCAATAGCAACACAAACTACATCGTCCAAAATTATTGAGCAGTTGCATATGCACCTCTCTGAAACAGTTCAAAACTGAACATTATAACCTTCATAAAGGGAGGATTTATTGCAGGACAGTTGGATTAGATTTAGCTAATTGTACCAAAATTGAATTTCATTTTCACTTTGACTTTATTGGCTTTAAAAGCTCCAGCTAGATAACAGTAAACTCTAACTATAATCAGAGCAGATTTGAGAGTTAACCTTTATCCCCATGGTAGATGAGAGGCATATCTCCAGCAGCGTGCTTCCAAAAGATTCTCCACTGTGTATAACTTTGCAGTAGTGGTGCAACACTTTAAATGACCCCTCAGTTTGGCTCTGATTAGAGAAAATGAACACCACTGTTGCATATAAACACCTTCATCACATCTCCCTTGCAGAGTGTCTGAAGGCGCTGGGCCACATGGAGGCAGCCGTAGAAAGCTACACTAAAGTGGTGGAGATGGCTCCACAGCACCTGGAGGCCAGGCTCTCCTTAGCCACCCTGCTGCAGCAGCTGGGCCGGCCGGAGCGCGCCCTCAAGGCCCTGGAGTCCATGTACGACAGCGATACACTGGCACAGGACTCGTCGGCTGCACAAAAGGCAAGGGAATTTGTGTGTTTGATCTAGTTCCATGGACAATGGCATGACCAGGTCAGGAATATCATGGAATTTTGATGAGTGTTTTGCAGACTGGAAAGTTTCTATTTTATTTTATTTGTCATGTTCCAGGAATATACCACATTTTCCACAGTTTCTTTCTCTCAACAATCAATCTTAAAGAGATATACTTACGCAAGTCCATTTCTGGCTAACAAACAAACAAAATAAAACTTCTGTGATCAATTTAAGAATACTTATGGTAAACCCAAAGAATGCTAAAACTTAGGAAACCCAAAATTTATGATTTACCAAAACTACCAATTAACTACATGTCAGAATTTTGACTTTGTATACTTATTACTTACTCAAAATCGAAATTATAAGAAAGTATCAGTGTTTTTAATTTTTTATGCGTAACATTTTGCTTTTCCTGGAGGGAATGGGCTTCCACACATTCTTAATTAATACTGAGCTATTACAACTCTGAGTTGAGCTCTGCTAGTGTATGACTTTTTAAAAAAGAAGCTGTATTTTTTGTTTATGTGTTTATATTCATGTCTCTATATATATATTGTTGTTTTAGGAGTTAAAGCTGCTGCTGCATCGTTCCACACTCCTGAAGACTCAGGGACAAATCCAGGACTACCTGGATGCTATGATCACTATGATCTCTATGCTACTTAAGGTAACACACACACATAAACACACTTACATGCTCAGCAACAACTTGGTTTAAGCTGATGTGGCATCATGTGTACAGGCAAGTTTATTTTTTTTTATACAGATAAAGTGAAATATACACAATGCAAGTGAATACTGGCATTGCATTATATGAGATCAAATAGGATCTGTAGTAAAACAAAATGCTAAGAGGAAGTCTGGTGTGTTTTCCATAAAATTGGCTATATGGGCTAACTTTGCACTTCTCAAATTGCTCATATAAAAATCATGTTTATTTGGAGCTGCAGGAGGCTCGCAGAGTTTACAGCAGGTTGAAATAATCCAGAAGTTTTCCTTAGTTTATCCTCGAGTTTCCACCTTTTCTTACCTGCACACACAATCTCTTTGACAAATGATTAAAACAATGTGTGTGTGTGTGTGTGTGTGTGTGTGTGTGTGTCCTAGGTGGCCATGCAGCGAGCTAAGGTGTGTGTGCGTTCTGCAACCGTGTCAGGCGTGAATCACCTGAGGCTGGTGAAGGCCAAAGACATGCTGCCAGAGATTGCTGACCACGAAGCTGCCTATCTGGACAACACAGGTATAGCTAAACATACTGTGTTTGCGGGTTGTTGGTTGTGTGCTGTAGATCTTCATACCTGGTTGTCTGGCCGATGTACTGAGCCTGTAGTTGGCAGGAGCAGCGCAGAGCAGTTGGCCGGAGATTGTTCACTGTCAGCACTTATTAACACTCACCATATGTGGAGAAAAAGCGGTTTATTGGTCTCTCAAAGGGCCGTGCACGAGGCTGTGCATGTTGTAGGGCATTAACTACTACCAGTGTAAACAAAGTTAGTGACTGTACATTATTGTAGACTCTTTTCTAAAGCGTTCCACATGTTTTCAGATTGATTTCCTGTCCTCCAGGCAGCTGGTTGCTGGTAATGTTTCTACAGCATGAAATCAAAGTGCAGCGGACATTTTAGAGTCTGCTGCTGAAAAGCATTCACAAGCATGCCGTCATGGATTTTGAATTTAAAAGACTCAGCATCTCAGCATCATCAATGCAGAGATAATCTAAGAAACATTCAGATTCAGATACCTCGACTCAGGTGATCTGTGAAGTCGTTGCAGAGAATTGAACCAATTATACATGATCTTTTTCTCCCAAAAGGAAAATTTGTGACTGGCGTCATGGGATGTGTAAGACAACATGAGCTTGTAACCGCTGTATCCATCACTTTGAAGGTTTAGAAAATTGTGTCATTACAGTGCACGCCATCACGTTCAACTTGTCTAATACAGGTAACTGTATATCCGTCAGAATCGGGCTGAACAGAAGGTTTGCAGTGACTTTGCTAAGTGTGTGTGTTACTGAAAAGGAGACAATAACTGAGCCTTTTTTTCAACTCGGTCCATGTTGTCTTCACTCTCAACCATTTAATAATTCATCTCGTGCCTGTGCACAGGTAAAACCAACGTCCTGTCTAAAGAGGACTGGTGGCAGCTGCTGGTGAGCTGTGTGCTGACGCTGTGTGAGGTGCAGCGCTACGAGGAGGCCGAGCTGCTGGTGGAGTCGGCCATGGAGTTCTTCTCCTTCTACGACAACAAGCCAAAAAGGAAGGAGATGGAGTTCTTCGGCCTGTCTGCCACCATCCTCAACCGCAACCACTACAAGGCCTACAACTACATCAGGTAGACTCGCATGTGCAGCTCCGACAGGCAGAGAATAATTTAAAAAAAAAAAATTTCGGAATTGAAAAGTCAAATATAACGTTGTCTTCTGCTTGTACTTGTGTGTTTTCTCTTCTCAACAGATTGATGCTGATGGAAAATGTGGATTCGCCTCAGCTTTGGAATATTTTTAACCAGGTGTGCCTTTTCAGAAAACAGCAAGTCAGGAAAAATGTGTGCATGTGTCTGCTCTTGTGGACGCAAAAAAAAAATGTCTGAGGTGATTTTTTTTTTATTCTCCTCTCCTCAGCTGACGATTACCTCCCAGCACCAGCGTCACCATCGCTTCTGCCTACGCCTGCTGTTAAAACATCCCGACAACCACGCCTTGTGTGTCCTCTGCGGACACAACGCCATGGTTTCGGGGAGCTTCAAACATGCTCTGGGTACAAAACCTACACGCTACTGACTGCGCTGCTTGTTCTTACCTAGTTAAATATAAAAACGGTTTAAAACATCTGTGTTCGGCATCTCTCTCACGATGCTCAGGTTTGGCATTATCTTGTTGTTTTAACACTGCCTGATATTACCTGTTTTCCCTGCTTACAGCCGAATTTATATGTAAAAAAAGTTACTTTGACAAAAAGATAAAGGCAGTGAAATGTCCACTTTGGTGAAAGTTTAGAGGACTTTTAGTTAATTTGCCACCAATATGCACAAAGGACCAATGCTGTGGTTTTAAGTTTCTCAAAGTTTGTAGTTATTGGTTTCTGGCCGAGTTCATCCCGACCAAACATAACAAAATGTAAATTTAAGCGGAAACAATGGTGCCTTGAATGCCCTGATGTGTACACAAACGCACTGCACTTCACTGCTTTTTTAATATGGCTGTGTTTACATACATGTCACCAAACAAGAGAAAACATATCGCAAAGCCCTGTTGCGCACCGCTGCACACCGATTTAAGAAAAACATGCCACTCAACCCGGAAACTGTAGCAATCCGGTGCAAAACGTTTTGAAATTGAACGTTCCTCCGATAGCTAAACTAGCTAATTTAGCTCTTGTATATCTCATCTTCTTTTTAATTATTCATTTTGTTTTAATTGCTCAAAGTAGTGTAAATAAAATTAGAAGAAAAAATAAAACATAGGAAAATTTAAATTGAATTTTAAGTTAATTAAATTTGATTTAAAAAAAAAAAGAAATCAATATGAGTAAATAAGAGTGGTTGGGTGGATAATTGCCTCAAAATAAACTTTCATTTCATATGCGAAAGAATGATTTGTAACAAGTGGGTGCCGTTTTCGTTCTAAAAGTATTTGTCATCCTCTTTTTCAATTCATACACTTCCTTTAGTCTGCATGTCCATTCTCATATCAGCATAAGCCAAAGTTTAGTTTCCCATTTGAGAAGGGCCATAACTAAAAGACTACTTGGCAAATATAAATGTCTACCAGCTCCAGGGATAACTTTCAGTACTGCAATTGTGGGATTCATTTTCTGGGAGACCTCCAGACCATTCTTTCTAAAAAGAAGAGGTCTAAAAGTGCATGACTGAAAAACATGTACAGTGCACATTGTTGTTTATACGCTGCCCAGCAGGCTCCTGTTAGTTTTCAGTCAGTTTGAGTTTAGGAAATATTTGGCTATTATTTTCCATTTGTATTCACCTAACGCGTTTTCAAACGTGTCTTTAGGTCAGTATGTTCAGGCCTTCCAGACTCACCCCAACAACCCTCTCCACAGCCTGTGTATCGGTCTCACTTTCTTCCACATGGCATCTCAGAAGTATGTAGCCAAGCGACATACGCTGGTGCTGCAGGTACGGTGTCTGTATCCTACACCCTTTTTTTGATAGCTTTACAATAACATGGCCTAGTCTGTTCTTCTGAAATACTCGTGTGTTTTCAGGGTTTCACCTTCCTGTGGCGGTACGTGGAGCTGCGTGGAGAGTGTCAGGAGAGCATGTACAACCTGGGCAGAGCGCTGCACCAGATGGGCCTCACACATTTGGCCATACATTACTACCAGAAGGCACTTACTCTGCCTGCACAGAAACTGGAGGTGCGCACACACACACACCCTTTCTTTCTACATGTTAACTAAACCAGCCTGTAGAAGCTTTAAACGAATCAACGCCTCATCCTCACTGCACAGTAGTCAGTGTCAATAATGCAGCCTAGCAAGATCTTTTCCTGTTCTTACCTATCTGTCTGTCCATCCTTTCACCGCTCGTCCTCCCTACAGGGTATGCCTGATGATCAGGTGGATCTGAGAAGGGAAATCGCCTTCAACCTCTCCCTCATCTACCAGGCCAGCGGAAACATGGAGATGGCCCGCCAGCTCATTAACACACACTGCATTGTTTGAAAATGCACACAAATGTCCCGGCGTCTGTGCGTTTTGTTTTTTTTATATATATTTTGAGTTTTGTACTGCCTTGTGTAAAATAAATAAATAAATAAATAAATAAATATGGAGGACTAAAAATGATTTATTCATGAATAAATCGACAATTATTTTCTTTAACAAATAAATTAAATTGATACAAAATAGATACAAAAATAAATGCATATGTACAAAAATACTTTTATTTTATTTCTACATTTATCTAAAGTACATTTATTCTGAATTTCTGAATTACATTTCTTTCATTAGTTCTGTTTTTCTAATTTTATTTATTGAGTGTGTTGATGAGGTAGATGGTACTATCTTCACTGTAAAGCACCACAGGTCACAGAATCTTGACAGATATATTACTTTTAACTTGCTAGTGGTGTATAAAGCTGTGCTGACTGGTACACATGCTCCTGATTTTTAGGTAGATCGTTAGATTTAGATCTGTAGCTCAAGCCTGGTTTGTCCAGCTGGCCAGTCGTGCTTTACAGTGAAGTTAGTACCGGCTGCGTCATTAACATACAGACAAACGTACTGAAGATAATAAAAGTAGAAATTTATGAATAAACAGTTATTTATATTTTGCAGTGAATCAATCAACATTTATTTTGTTTATTACTACTTATGTATTTATTTCTGTATTTATTTCAGTTTAACTACACCATTTTCACTCTTACAGATACGGTAGATATCTGAAACTGAAGTAGTAGTTGCTCAGTTTTCAGACATTATTTTCCTCCTGTCCCATGTAAACGGATATCATAATTTTCTTGTGCAGGGTTAAATTTAGTTTGCGTTATTTGTACATGTGTGCACAGTCATAATGCTATTTTTAAATTATACCTATTTTAAGACATTCACATTCAACACAACATTTTTGCTATGTGTATATATTTTTAAGTAATAAAAATAAGCATGATGTTGCTTTGGACATGTTTTTTTGGGGTGGAGGGGGTACAGTAATGTGACAAAAAGATGAATGAGGACATTTTCTTTTGTTGTTGCAGGGATTAAGGCAGTGGGATTATTTGGGAAATCCCTCCCTCTATCCTAACCGTCTGCTTCCATCAAATTTCCTCCACAGGACACAGCACTCCATCTAGGCCAGGGCCGGGATGGGCCTTCTGGTGGAAAGGGCGGAGAACTTTTTTTGTGTGCTTTCTTCCCCAATCACTGATTAATATAGGTAAACTTGTTAATAAGCACAGTATAGAAACGGCCAAAAGTGTGCCTATATTCCCAATAATTTAAAAGCCTGTATAATATTACTGCAGAATATACCTCACCCCCACATCAGGATCACCACACCCAGCTGGTGTTTGTTACCTTTAGTAGTTTACCACTGAGAAACAAGAGGCCATGCAGGACAATGATCCAAACAGTAACCTGCCAAATTCAGTACCAAGGAGAGCGCACGCCCAGACCTGACTTTATCAAAAAACAACCTACTGTAAAACCACAGTCAGCAGTTTGACTATATGAATAAAATCAGTAGTCTCATATATATCTTCGATTAGCAAAACAGTTTTGCAGCCACGAACTACTTGTTTGTCTCCAAGATAATAGATTTTAATTTAACTCCAAACAACAATGGATAAAAGTTTATGTCCATATCTGTTTCACACGTGGCAAACCTGCAAATGACTCTCGGGAAAAAAAGAATCTCCTAAAACCTGGTGAGTCCTACTTAAACAGGAAGGCTATTTGTTTTCTTTCCATACCCCCTGTAGCACGGTGGACTATCTGGGGAAAAAATAAACATCACGCCAGAGCTAATTCAAAATGGGACATGGATCTACCTAAAATAGGCTTTATTCTGCAATTTATAGCCTATAAAATACTTTCTGATGTTAACTGCAGGTGTACAGGGAAGTCCTACCTTTACAATATGTTCTGCTTTACAGAATCCATTAGGCCTAACCTACTGAGTGTTTTAAATCAGTAAAACTAACATTTCTAAAATAAAAACAAGAAAACCTGCGATTGGCCAGGGCACCTCAAGCATTGTCGTGCCATTAACACAAACAGCTGATTGTGATGATGTTAGCCCTAGTTAATTATAACACCCTCCCCCCCACTCTCCTGGATGAGATTTTATCCTAGGACGCCCTTAATACGCCGCAGCACTGTTTACATATGTGATTAAAACAATAATCCTCGCGTGTTCTCTAGATGTCATTTCTATTAAATAAATCAGACTGTTGCGATTAAGCTCCTGGGGCCCCTTTCGCCGACCCCTTGAAAGCCCCCGAACCTCAGTTGGAGAACCCGTGGTTTGCACAGGGGTGGTGGAGGTGGTGGTATAGTGGGAGGTGTTGGATCGCTTATTTTGACGCTGAGCTCGGTCAGTATACTCCCGCAACAAGGCCTGACGTTTTATTAAACAAAGTTCCTAACCAGCACTAACAACGGGAATATGTTGCCGTGATCGCAACGCGGTTGGTTTGGTTTCATCAAACATGACGGAGCGTAAAAATAAAAGGGAATAAAGTGCGTGAAGCAGCGGAAACGGGGAGGCGGATGTGAAGTAGGCTGGTCCAGCCAAATAAATAAGAAATGAACGCGTCTTTCTTCCCATCCTGGCAACATCACTGAGAGCAGGTAACCTACTCTGTGGGGAGAGGAGAATGGCAACCATGATGTCAAAACGGGAATAATAAAAAAGAAATCAAAGGGAGATTTCGCTTTGACCGGAGGTTGGACTACCGAGAGGCAGCGGGGCTGCGCACGGGCTCTGGAGCGCCCGGATCCCGCTTGGAAGCCGATGAAGGGTCGGTGGTGCCGGGGCCGTGTGGAGGTCCGTTCTCCACGATTAAGCGACTAATACGGGGGTTTTTTTGGCATGCAGAAGAGGCTTTAAACGAAATTTAAATCACCGTAGTAAAGGTAAGTGATGTCTCAGATGGAGCCAATATATTTTTAGTTTATTTATGTACAGCAGGGTGTTTTGATGTGGATCTGATGCCATCAAGCCATCAATTTGCGTTTTCTTCACGCTGAAATGTATTCCATCTCATTTTGTCTTTCACTCATCAATCTTTCTGCTGCTCTATAAAGGGCTGTCTCCGACTGGGCTGGTGAAGTCATGCTCTGGTGTGCTGATTACTGGCAGCAACAGTGACAAATAAAGGCCTCATAGAAAAAAAACAAAACAACAACAAAGCCAAAATATTATCTTTGTTCTGCAGCATCATGTGGTGCTGTCAACGTGAAAAGAAGCTTTAGGCAAAAAGGGAATAGTGATTTCAACCTGCTCAGATACAGACCTTTAGGTGAGTAAATCAGATCACTGTAGTGTGCTCACACAATCAGATCAATCCCAGAATAACAGGAAAGCTCATCTCCCTCTATTTCCTTCTTAACAGCTTTATGTATGACCCAGATTGTAATCTGTATATAATAACCTAGAGTGTAGGCTGAGGTTAAATGTTTCAGGAAATTTGATTGGCAGGCCATATGTGTGCACTTCATTATGTGTGCCTGAGATCTGTTGCTAACAATGAGGATGGCTTTCTCTTTGGGTTGCTGTTGGGTAGGATTCATCCAGGAGGAATGATCTTTTTCCCCATTTGCATTAGACATGTCAGCAGGGCCGGACCTGGGTCAAGTTGAAGTAGAATCTACTCTACCACCACACTGCTGCATCTCGGCATTGCAATCCAATCTTTTTATATACAGTCTATGAATCCAATACAAGAGGGATTCTCAAGTGTATGTATCTACTAGGCCTATTGACTCGATAGTTGATACCCTTTTCAGTGTATCCCAGACTGTGCTATACCTTGAATTAAATCCCCTGATTTACACCAGAGAAAGCCTTGAGTGAGAGACAATGTGTAAACAAATCCCCCTCCTATCCAATATAATCAGTAAGGTCAAAACCTCTATAGGCACTGATGTGCCACTATAGGCTGTGGTTGATGTTAAAGCTGCAATAGCTGATTCTTCTGTCTAACCAGCAATATTTCAAAGTGTAAATGTAAATACAATGATAACAGTGTCAGATTTAATACTTGAAATGTGTAGTTTTTCAAACAGTGGGTCTGGGTCGGATTTCAGACGGTGACAAAAGCAGGCATCTCATCTCGAGCTAGCGACCGTTGAATTTGCCAACTAATATTGTGGCTAGCAGATTTTATCAGCTGTAGCTAAATACTTAATTAAGCTAACGTTAGATCCAAGAAGTGGTTGAAAACGTCTAAGTTTTGGCTGACTCATTTTAAAATGACAACCCTGTAAAAAGGACTAACTGATGTGTGTGTGTGTGGTGAACGTAGTCTTAGTTTGGCTGGTGTTGATGGATTGTAAACTTCCCAGTCCGGTCAAAAGCAAGACATGATAATGATATATTAGCATCTAGGACTGCTGATGTCATGTTTGAGGTTTTCTCTTTATTGTTTAAGAATTTCTCTTTATTGTTAAAATTTTATTAAAATTGTCTCTTGCTGCCATTTGGAGTTTCCTCGCTGCGAAGAAGCCCTGTGCAGTATTGTGTTTGAACTCTAAAAGCAACCTAACTATAAAGGAAGGAATCTCTGTCTCTCTGTCTCTGTCCTTCAATTTTCTCAACTCCTGTCCATCCACTTGGCGGGAGTATTGTTGAGGACCTAAGGGTCCTTTGCAGTGTCGAATTTGGTGGAGTTTGACCAGATGGTGCTTACCTGTAACTTTTGAGCTGCAAGTCTCTGTTCTTTCAATCCAAAGAATCGATCCATATAAGCCACTCCCTTTTGCATTGTGATTTCTCGCTATTTTGAATGTAGGCTTAAACTTAAGCATAATTCAAAACATGGCCGCTTTGAGTGACAGGTGGTTGTCGACACACACCTAACCAGTAGTTTTTTCTGTGGGCACACACCGAATCAGATCTCTTCAGTTAGTGGAGAACTGTCATGTCTGTCACTGTGGATCGAGCACTTTGGTCTGCACAAGGTTGAAAGTACAAGAATGCACTGAAACACAAACACACACACTGGCACAGAGGAATGTGATGGTGTGTGTTGGGGACAGGAAGCTGTCGCCTCTGACGGGACCGCCTCATTGTTCTCCAGTCACCCTACAGCTATTCCAGGACTGTGTGTGAGATAGTGGTCCTATTTCAGTCTGTTTTTTAAAATTCCAAACCAGATTTGGACTTTCTCATATACACCTGTAACTCCGAACCTCTGACATGCACTTCCTGTGCTCTTCTTCTCTTCTTCACTCTTACTTTTCCCCCTAGGTCTTTACCCCATTGATGCGATATCTGCTATTAGCTCTCACTAGTATTTATTAGTGCTCTTACTAGCATGTATTGTCAGTTGTAGTTCTCGTGCTGTATTTGATGCTTTGTTGATGCTTGTAGGTTGTTCCTCAAAGGTAAGTCGCTTTGGATAAAAGCGTCCGCCAGATGAGTAAATGTACTGCCTGTAGTAAATGTATCTTGATAGACCTTTGAGGGTATATTAGGGCCTCATTTTCTGTCATATGACCTTACAATGTCATATAAAACTGGTCAAAGTTTGCGATGTGCGCATATGCAGGATGCACAATGTCAAGTAAGGCATATTAACTCCAGCAAGTCATGTTACGACTTCTTGCTGCCTTATATGAAAGGCAAGGACCTTGCAACGTCCTCATTTTCCATGACTCTACAAGAAAAGTCCATCTGATATTACATAATTTAGTCTGATTTAAGGATTTGTGGATATTTATCTTTCACCACGCAGGTCATAACATTCTGACCACCTGCCTAATTTTTTGTACATCTCCGTTTTGCCGCCAAAACAGCCCTGACCCTTTGAGGCATGGACTCCACTAGACGTCTGAAAGTATACTGTGGTATCTGGCGCCGAGACGTTAGCAGCAGATCCTTTAAGACCTGTAAGTTGCGAGGTCCTCCATGGATCAGACTTGTGTGTCCAGCACATCCCACAGGTGCTCGTTTGGATTGAGATCTGGGGAATTTGGAAGCCAAGTCAACACCTCGAACTTGTTGGGTTCCTCAAACCATTCTCTTCAAGTTTTTGGAGTTTGTTTGCATGTATTGCAGAAGGTGCTTTTTCGGTTGTGAAGTAAAGCGAGTTTGTTTCTTAAGGAATAGACAGCATTTTACAGTGATGGCATTACATCACAGTATTACAAAATTAAGAGATACTCCACTCACTTCTACAGATTTATTCAGATCTATTTGCAGTATATGGGGACATGTCTTAAGAAAGAAAATGTAATAAATTGACTCCAAATAGCAATGAAAATTAGGTGTAGGCCTACATCTGTTTTGGGAGGAGCATTCTGCCCCATAATGTGAGTTCATAAGTAAATGTAGTTTGATTCATTCTGCGTGTTAGACAAGGGGTAGCATTAATCATCTCAACAGCATTTATTTGGCAGAAAACCCAAAGTATCTTCATAGATAGTGTGCCACGGGGCACGTCTATCAAGTACATTTACATACAGCAGCACTTGTGGACTGCCTCTGTCCCCAGATTCGTCACACATTCGCAAACATATTACTAGCAGTATCCAAGTCGCGTCTCATATGTGCTGCGGTGAATGTGATTGTAAAAGTGGCCTGCATGATATGTACTGTAGCTCTCATGTGCCTTTGAGCACGAAGAAAGTGGGCTTTTAGAGAGGGTGGGCTGCGTGGCTGCATAAAGGGCCAGTATAAGAATTTTTTTAAACTATGAATCATGCAGAGCTACTCTAGTGGAGTCACAGAATAAAAATATAGAGCTGGAAATGACCCTCTCTAAATTTGTCATCCAGCTCACACAACACCCAACCAGATCTCCTGTAAGTTACCAGAGAGGCATAGTCAGTTACAGGGACAGTTTTCTATTTTGCCCTCCTGTCTAGTCTCCCCCTGAGGGCAGAGAAGTGTCCCACCCCGGTACACAATGTTATTTTGGCAAATAGGACACATTTCTGGCATCTCTTCACTCTTCAGAGACTGGGTCAGTCTTCTCCACTGTAGCTCCACTTTGTGATTTAATTAGGCTGAGGCGATGGCTATATTTTTTGTTCTCTACATCTAAATGTTGCCTTGTGCAGCTCTGACCGTTGCATAATTCAGTAATGTAGCCTTTTCTTCAGAGGCCTAGCACTGCCCCACCTAGAAGAGTGTCAGCAGTATTTTAATTTCAGTGGAGAGTCAGAGGGATGAAGTTCTCATCCTGTTAAACCCACATTTAGTTTTATGGGAAACACTTGTGACTGTGCATGCTCTTCTTCCCATCACTTCTTTGATCTTAGCGTAGGATGAAAGTAGCACCAAATCAAACACAGGTTTTGTGTGTGTGTACATTGCTTCCAGAGCATCCAGCTTGTGTGTGTAGCCTCACCACCACCGGCTGATTGATGTGTATTGATGTCAGTGCCTGGCTCTGTTTTTACCGGATTGTGGGTATATTTAGTCACAAAGTGTCACCATTTATAAATAACTTGCCGACTTGAAGCTGCTGCTGGAGGAAAGATTGCACTTATTGTGTCTCACACAGTGCAGTTTAACACTTCATGTAAGGAGACCCACATGGACAAACAAGAAAAAAGCACTAGGTGGATCTGCTGCCTCTGAGATTAATTTAAAACAACGTCCAGGCTTTTATGAAGTGTGCTAAAATATAAAAGTAGCTCCTGCATAGTGGTAAAGAAAAGCTGCTCCAATCAATATTTTTATATTAACAGTGAATCAAATGAATCAAATGCATGTGTGTAATGTGAAAGGTGTCTTGAAAAATCTTTATCTCAGGGCTTTGTAAGGGGGAGAAATAATAAAGGAAGGTTCCCCCACCCGAGCACACTGAAAAATGTTCTTATATTCTAACTAGGTTTTTAAAATTAAATAAGTATCAGGCCACGATATTAATTCCGGTTACAGCACTTTTTGTGGGTTGTTTTTAATC